ATTCTGGAAATGATTGTTGTAGCCTATTCTAACGGTTATTTTGGCGACATTGTTTTGTTAATTTGTATATTATTATTTACTTTATTTATTCATTATTTTTACTTGTTTCTATGTATTTTCTTTTTCTTTTTATTTATTCTATTTCGTCTATTCTAAAGGGAGTGGTTGTTAATTTGTTTATTATTTGTTTGGGTTATTTTATTTTACTTGTTTTTTATATTATTTTGTTTATTTGTTTTTGTTTTGTGTCAGTTTTCGATTTTTAAGTAACGTAGTAAAAAATTGTTTTCGTGTCTGCATTTTGAGATGAGCTCAAATCGTTAATTTAGTAATTTATTTTGGTATGGGAAGTTAATAATAGCTAATTTTTCCTCCAAGCAATGTTTGCAGGTTTTGGATTGATTGTTGATAATCTTTTCCTTATTTTCCATGATATTTTTGGAGTGATTTGTGTTTTGTTTTTAATTTCCCACATAAACTTGAAAAACATGGTGCTGTTCGTGTATTTACTATTTGTGAAAGATGTTTCGTATGCATAATTTCTTTGTTTCCATGGTCCTTCTGTTACTCCTATGTGTAATTTTTCTTCATTATCTGGTGATTTTTAGCGTGGCTTGGTATATTACGTTGTTTTGGAAGCAATTACCGTTTAAGGGGCATTCATTTTTTATTCCACAGTTACATGTGTGTTTAATTCGTTTGGGTGGTCTGTTGATAGTTTTCCTGCTGCGCTTTTATTATTATTTGTGACATGTTCTCGGTGCAACTGTAGCTGATTTTTTACAGTATTTTACCTACATTTGTTTTCACATTTTGCTGTATGGTGGGTTGAACCATATGATATTTCTTTTCCTGTTGACCTTTTTTGTGCTCTGTGGTGAGTATGTGAATATATATATATATATTGCCTTTCTCTTTCTCTCCCACTTCCTATTTCCACCTTCACAATATAATAAACCAAATTACTTCCGGTTGTAAATAAGTCTTCTTCCGTCATCTCTTAGCCTCTGTCCCCTCTGAGGTCCCCCTCTCATTCTCCAAAAAAACCAGTACCCTCTTACAATCTGACACCATATACAGCGTGAAAATTCCAGCGAATTTTAAATTTAAAGTGTAAATGGTCATTAACTAATGGTATCTTAATTCCAACTGAACGAAAAATTTTGCTCTGTTTAATGAATTAAACACTGAGCGCTCTTAATGAGTCAGTTTTCACATTTAATATTTAATATTTCAAATTCTATATTGTATTAATAGGACTCGCTTGCAATACACCAAATGATTATTAACTGCATATATATATATATATATATATATATATATATATATATATTTTAGTTGGATTGATGTGAGTTTTGACCTTAGGTTTCACATATGAATAAAATACATATAATATATTATATATGTATAAACAAACTTTATATATATATATATATATATATATATATATATATATATATATATATATATATATATATATATATATATATATATATATATATATATATATATATATAGGATATATATATATATATATATATATATATATATATATATATATAGTCCTATATACTCTAAATATACAAGACTCTAAATATACAAGACGCTGCAGTGAGTTAGAATTTTAAAAAAAGGATTAATTTTATGCAAATCTTTATTTTCAAACCATATGGCTTTTTTTGGTAACGCACTTAATTAAATGGTGTGCATTAAAATCTTAGGAATCGAAACTATACAGAAAAAATTCATATCAAAATTCAGCTGATATGTCAGTCTACAAAATTATTGATCCATTCTTACCCCCCCCCCATATATATATATATATATATATATATATATATATATATATATATATATATATTATTAGTGTGTGTGGGGGCGTATGTGTGTCCATACGCATGCAAACATTAAGGAAAGGGTGAATGGGATCGTGTGTGGTGTCGTAAGGGGAACTACTGCGGGGGAAATATATTAATGTAAGTCATAAATATATCTTTCTGGCAATCATAAAAACAAATATAAATGAACAAAGTCCGGCGCTGACTACTGAATAAGCGCCAGGATTGGTCCATAAATTGATGTACTTTAAAGGCAAACTCAAATTCATAGCCGTATTTATAGCAATGAGATCCGCTGATAGAGCAAATCCTGATTCCTTTGTTTGTCATTTTTCCTTTCCATTTATTAGGTTTATTCTTTTTTTCCTTTTTTTTTTCGCTTTTTATCTGCCGTCCTTCTTTCGACAACGGCGCCAAGAGCCAATTCGAAAGAGTTCGTCAGGCATCCGTTCAGTATTCTTCCTTTGCTACAGTTTTCCTTTTCTTTCTTTTCTCTTCAACCTTCCGTAATTCTTTCTTTTTCTTTAAGGCATTCTTTCTTTCTTTCTTTCTTTTTTTTTCTATTTTATAGAATATATATATTATATTAGAATTATATATTTATTTATTCTATTTTTCTTTCTATTTTATAGAATATATATATTATATTAGAATTATATATTTATTTATTCTATTTTTCTTTCTATTTTATAGAATATATATATTATATTAGAATTATATATTTATTTATTCTATTTTTCTTTCTATTTTAGAGAATATATATATTATATTAGAATTATATATTTATTTATTCTATTTTTCTTTCTATTTTATAGAATATATATATTATATTAAATTATATATTTATTTATTCTATTTTTCTTTCTATTTTATAGAATATATATGTTATATTAGAATTATATATTTATTTATTCTATTTTTCTTTCTATTTTATAGAATATATATATTATATTAGAATTATATATTTATTTATTCTATTTTTCTTTCTATTTTATAGAATATATATATTATATTAAATTATATATTTATTTATTCTATTTTTCTTTCTATTTTATAGAATATATATATTATATTAAATTATATATTTATTTATTCTATTTTCTTTCTATTTTATAGAATATATATATTATATTAGAATTATATATTTATTTATTCTATTTTTTTTTTCTATTTTATAGAATATATATGTTATATTAAATTATATATTTATTTATTCTATTTTTTTTTCTTTTTATAGAATATATATATATTATATTAAATTATATATTTATTTATTCTATTTTTTCTTTCTTTCTATTTTATAGAATATATATATTATATTAAATTATATATTTATTTATTCTATTTTTCTTTCTATTTTATAGAATATATATATTATATTAGAATTATATATTTATTTATTCTATTTTTTCTTTCTATTTTATAGAATATATATATTATATTAAATTATATATTTATTTATTCTATTTTTTCTTTCTATTTTATAGAATGTATATATTATATTAAAATTATATATTTAATTATTCTATTTTTCTTTTCTATTTTATAGAATATATATATTATATTAAATTATATATTTATTTATTCTATTTTTCTTTCTATTTTATAGAATATATATATTATATTAAATTATATATTTATTTATTCTATTTTTCTTTCTATTTTATAGAATATATATATTATATTAGAATTATATATTTATTTATTCTATTTTTTCTTTCTATTTTATAGAATATATATATTTTATTAAATTATATATTTATTTATTCTATTTTTCTTTTTCTATTTTATAGAATATATATATTATATTAGAATTATATATTTATTTATTCTATTTTCTTTCTATTTTATAGAATGTATATATTAAATTATATATTTATTTATTCTATTTTTCTTTCTATTTTATAGAATATATATGTTATATTAGAATTATATATTTATTTATTCTATTTTTCTTTCTATTTTATAGAATATATATATTATATTAGAATTATATATTTAGTTTACCATATTTCATTTCATTTCCATCTTTCCTTATTGTTTCTAGCTTTCTCTTTTCTCTATTTATTTTATTCTATTTTATGCCACTACTCTCTCTGCCTTCCTTCATTTCTTTTTTTTTTACTTTTTCTTTCTATTTTATGCTACCATTCAATCTTTCATGTTTCATTTGCTTTTTTTTTTCTTCTTTCTTTCTTTCTTTCTTTCTTTCTTTCTTTCTTTTTATTTTATTTATTCACTTAGTTTACCATGCTTCATTTCATTTCTATCTTTCTTTCTTTATTTCTTTTATTCTATTTTATGCCACTACTCTCTCTACCTTGCTTCATTTTCTTTCTTTCTTTTTTCTTTCTTTTTTTCGTTATTTCGTTCTTTTATTTTATTTAACCGTTTTCATATTTTCTTTCATTCTTTAAATCTTCTCGATTGCTTTCTTTTTTTCTTCAACCTTCCTCAGATTATTTTTTTCAATATTTTTCTCTTTTCAATTTTATCCTTCCCGTCTTTTTTTTTCTTTTCGTTCTCTTATCTTTTTTATTCTTAATTCATTTACCTTTGACATTTTTTCTTCTTTTTATCGTTTCTTTCTTTTTTCATTTAATTTTTCCTTTTCTAAGTCCCGCTTTCTTTCTTTCTTTCTTTCTTTCTTTTAATTTGTCCTTTTTTTATTCATTTAAACTCTATTGATTTCTTTTTAACTTTCTTCAACATTTTTCAAATTCTGTTTTCGAAATTTATCTTTTTCATTTTCTTTTTTTTCTCTCTTTTTCTTTATTTAGCTTTTTCTTTTTCTTTTTGTTAAACTCGTTAAAATTTTTTCTTTATTTCTTTCCCCAAACTTTTTCAATTTCATTCTTTTTTCCTTCAACGTTCCTTAAATTCTCTTTTCAAGAGTCATCATTTTATTGCTTTCTTCCGTCTTTATTTTCTAATTTATTTTTTTTATTTTTTTTTCTCGTTATCCTTTCTTTCTTTCTTTCTTTCTTTCTTTATTTCTTTCTTTCTTTCTTTCTTTCTTCTGACCTCTTCTTACTTATCCACCCATTTCTTCTTTCATTTCCTTTCTTTTTTTTCTATTTGTGTCTCTCTTTATCAATTCCGTTGTTGAATTCTTTTGTTAATTCATCATGTCTTATTTTCTTCTCCGAATTTCTAGACTGAATTCATATTGAACCTTCCATTCTCTATTTCCTCATAATCGCCTTTTCTATACCTATTTTTGCTTTTTACATCCGATGTCATTCGATTTATCACTTCATTATTTCCTTCATGGTTGGAGGAAGGATATTCGGTTGTAAAAACTGCCCCCGCCATCGCGAGAAGATAGTACTTCCTTTATGGAAAATCCAAGGTTCAAATATCAGATTCGAAAGCAAGCAGATTTTTCACATATATATATATAGAGAGAGAGAGGTACATGTGTGTGATCGCGCTTTCTTGCTTGGTTGATTAGTTTTTTACGATCTATCAACCCTTTTGCAGGCTATTTACAGCCAGATAATATTTTTATATTGTAAGAATCTTTTCTGGAGATAATAAAATGTTCAATGATAAAGGTCTTACTAATTAACACATAGAAGGGAGAGAAGAGGTGGATTTATATCTTTCCCAAAGGTATTTCCGTGGAGGTGAATTTAACGAAACGAAAGCGACTTGAAACTTGGCTCTCTGATTAACAATTGCGAATTATTTTCCATCGATCTTCCAAGCCTACAGCGCGTGTAATGCCCAAGCGGTGGCCCATCGAGGTACTGACCATGGTCGAAGTTGCTTAACTTTGAAGTTCGTACGGTAACTGATGATTCAACGTGATTTGGCCGTAAGCCTCTGTCTCCTTCTGTGTGTGTGTGTGTGTGTGTGTGTGTGTGTGTGTGTGTGTGCCTGCGAGCGCGCGATAAAATATTTCATTTCAAATACCAGAAACAGTGCTAAGAGATTAATGACAAATTGAGAAAACTGTTTTGTATGTCACGTTTAGTCCGAACTAAAGCGAGGTTAACCTAGATGTAGCTAAACAAGAGCATAGAGGAGAGGGGTCGTTGAAAATTTAACATGTTTAAAATTTAAATTTCATATTGTTTTATTTTTAATATGCGTTTCATGATAGAGTCTGGCCAGTTTAATTTAGTTTCTTTTGCTTCATATTTTCATGGTTTGGTCTGAAGAAACCCAAGTTGCGATAATAAAAGTTCTACAAAAAAAAAGCGAAATGTAGTCATATCAATGTAAGCATCGCTTTAGTTTGATTACAGCCTCACAAACTCACACGATTTTTTCCACTTTATATATATATATATATATATATATATATATATATATATATATATATAGAGAGAGAGAGAGAGAGAGAGAGAAGAGAGAGAGAAAAGAAAGAAAGAGAGAGAGGGGGAGAGAGAAAGGATTTTAGATTTATTAATCAGAAATATTACAATTCATTGCTTAAACAATAATTTATTGAGTACACATCTTTGAGTAGATGGTCTGTTTTTTATTTATTTATTAAATAGTATATTTATTTACATTTAACTGCTTTAATATTCGAAAAAAAAAACATTTTAGAAAAAATCTACCGGGGGCCATTTTTCTAACAAGTTCCCTCGAATATTCAGGTCGAGAGATGAAATAAATATAAATAGAACATCTCCTCAAAGTTGTGTATCCATTATATATATATATATATATAAATATATATATATATATATATATATATATATATATATATATATATATATATATAAAAAAACATATTTATATACATATTCATTTATATAAACTTATATATATATATTTATTATAAATATTTATATATATATATTTATATATATATTTTATATATACATATATATATATATTTACATATATGTAGTTATATATATATATATATATATATATATATTTATATATATATATATTTATATATGCATATTTATATATAAATATATATTATATATATATATGTATATATATATATATATATACATACATTTATATACATATATATTTGTATATGTATTTGTATATATATATATATATATATATATATATATATATATTTAAATGTACACACACACAGACACACACACACACACACACACACACACACACACACACACACACACATATATATATATATATATATATATATATATATATATATATATATATATATATATATATACAGTCTGTTTGCTGGCTAATGTTGCGCGTTTTATCAGCAGACCAAAATAGTTGCGTTTCGCGCGGAAGCATTAGGCGGCAATACGAATGCTGATGTTCAAACGACCAATGATGAAAAGAAAGATTGTGACCAGATAATGTTCTCATTCTATGTTCATCCGAGACTTAATAACAGTCTATATATCTACTTATTTATATAAATGTGTGCGGAGAGTTGATGCAGGTTCAATGAAAAGATTTTTCTTCTTTTTAACAGATGTAGACGTATCGTTATATTTTGTTTATAAAAGAATTGACTTAGTCTGTCTATTTCTTTTCTTTGTAATAATAACGGTTTGCGGATAAATATTATTCTTTCGATGGTTTTATTGGAGCTGAAAGTTTTATAGTCTGCCATATTAATACGAGGTCTGATCAGAAAGAATCGAGACTTTTTTCTATAGTAACGGTGCCAAAACCCGCAGAATGCTCTTGAACATTGTCGTCCATAATTTATAACTTTTTCGCTTACTTTCTTTGTTTATAGCATTACTTCGAAGGAATTCGTGATGAGTGGTCTTGTCGCTACACCACTGAGGTGTCATTTGTGAACATCGTTTGTGCAGCAGTTTTTGGCTAAACACAGTATTGTCCAAATCTGACAACTATAATATCCTCCAGATCTCACACGTCACGACATCTCCCTCTTCAAAAACCTAATTTCTTTTGAAAGGAACACGATTCCAAAATATCGAGGAAATCCAAGTAAATACGACGAAGCAGTTGCTCGCTCTCCCCAAAACAGAGTTTCAGGAATGCTTTTTCAATGGAAAGAACGCTGGATAAAGTATGTAGCTTCAGAAGGGGTCTGCTTCGAAGGAGATTAAATGCCAAATTTATATTTGGTGTAGTTTTTTTTTTTATAGCTCCAGTCACGATAATTTTTTATCAGGCATCGCATTTTGATCTTGTCCATATTTTGAGTAAAGTAAGTGTTTTTCTTAAGGAGCTAATGACAGGTTAAAAATTTCCATATGTGTATCAGTCTATTTTCAATATACACGATGCATAAGTAAAAACATTCATTACTTTTTTTTAATTATTAGGAAATAAAGCCCTGTCGTATTTTTGATATGATATATTGAGGGTACTTATTAAATACTTACAGCAAAATAACCATTATTCTACACGTTCTTACGTTTTATTAGTCTTTACTTTTTAATCATTGGCAAGGCAATAAAGCCACTAAGAAACCAGGGGGCTAATGGGTATGAGATAATAAGAGAAAAAACATTATTATTGAGTAAGAACAATAAAAGGACAAAAATTAAGAAACCAGAAGATAACGATTGAAATTTCTTTTAAATTTTTGAAGCTCAGAGTTGTACTGACACCGAGATGCCAGGAAACGACCATTAACATTGCAGTTTCTTTTTTCTAGTTTATTAAGAATATTTAAATACATAGCAAAAGCACTGAACCAGATGTGACAGATATATTCAATGTATGGATGGAGGGTAGACTTATAAATCTGTAAGGTGGCTTTGTGTAAGAAAAATTCTCTAACACAACACAGGGAAACAATTTTCCTAGCAGAAGACCTAGAAATTAATTGAATACAATATATACCGGGGAGTCGCAAGGCAAACATATAAATAAAAGGGAGCAGTTTTGGTGGTGTTAAAATTAATAAGCTATTTCTTGCCCCAGTTAACAACAAATTGTAGGTCATTTTTGAGCTCACCTGCCAATTTGACCTTAAAATGTATGAAGTTTGTTTCGAATTTACTCTCTTAAAACGAGTTTAGATGAAAACCATATCGGATGCTGTATGCTGTACTAATTTCAAAAGGACTTTTCAGCACGGTAAACGGCTAGAAATATTCCTTCGTTCTATGGAAATTAAACCTTGAATGTCTGGACATACATCCGATGTTTTGACCAGTTTTGAACGGAGACTTATCCTCCTGATAGTTTCTCCTGATCTGAATGACTAAGTTATTTAACTATTGTACTTCTACAGCCCATACTTGAGGAAAATTCCGAGCAACTACACGAGGCTTAGGTAAACATATCACTGAAAATCACTACGATCATAAAAATAAGTCTCTATTGTGGTGACTTCCCTCTAATGAGGCTATTGTGGACCCTTCCCCTTACTATAAAGTTAGTAGGGAAAATAAGCCTCAGGGGTACGGTGATATAGACTGAGCCCTGGTCAACCGACATACACTCCTTCTGTTGTATTTACTGTTTAATACACTATTTATCTGCAGCATCTTGTTTTGTTTGGTTTATTTTGTTTTACGGAATTTCAACCTCAATGGGTGATTTAATGCCGACAACTTTTTTTTTTTTCAGCTAATACTTTGTTTTGTCAAAAATCTATTTCTGGTAATATTATTTTCCTCAAAAATGTATAGCTGATAATATTATTTTAAAACATGTATTGCTGGTAATATTTTCTTTTCAAAAAATTATAGTTGGTAATATTTTTTTCCAAAAATATATTGCTGGTAGCAGTTTTTTTGAAAAAATATATTGCTGGTAATAGTTTGTTTTTTATTTTCAAAAATATATTGCTGTAATAGTCTTTTGCTTCAAAAAATTATTTCTGGTAATAATTTTTTACAAAGTATTTCTGGTATTAAAAACTATTTTTACACTTTTACCTCAGTTTCAGAGTTAACTATTTGCCCATAGCTGGGACCCTAACAGGTGTTATTACCCTGCGTCAGGGTGGACCTGGGAACACCAGCAATTAAGTGGTAGTTCAACGTTCCTCAAAACCTCCTGATCAGAGGCCTTGCTGTTGGACGTAGTTTATCGTCTTATCCAGGACGCGGATGTAGTTTATCTTCATACTCAGGACGCGGATGTAGTTTATCGTCTTACCCAGGACGCTCTTGTTTTGTTATTTCTTAACCAATTACTTGGTCCCAACAGCCTCTCAACTTGTTTAATGCGTTTCTCATCAATTGACTGTTTCTCAACTTAAGCAGAAT